CGCCATGGAGGAGGGCCCTCTGGTGGGCGGGCTGCCCAGCCCGGAGGATGCGATGGTGACCGAGCTCTTCAACGCTGAGAGTCCGTTCGTTTCGGAGAATATCGGCCTGAAGGTCCCCGTGAAGCTCGAGGAGGACGAGTTCCACGTCTTCAAAGACGCGTACCTGGGCCCGGCGGACCCCAAAGAACCCCTACTGCACGCGTTCAACGCCGCGCTGGGAGCCGACTGCCAGGGCCAGGTCAAGGCGGAGCTCCCGGGGGCCGACAGCGAAGGCGGGGAGCTCCTCGGGGAATACGCCGGGATCCCCGAGCTCAGCGCGCTGGAGGACGTCGCGCTCCTGCCGGCCCCCCCGCCGCCCACCTGCAACGTGCACTTCCTGTCCTCGCTGCTGCCCCCGCACCGCACCTCCGCGGTGCTGCCACTGGGCGCCTGGGTCCGGGAAGGAGCCGCCCACCCGGGCGTCCGGGTGTTCCCAGTAAGAGTCGCCTGGGGAATGGGCACAGCTCTCCCCCCATCCCTTCCCCAGCCTGAGGCTGCTGGTCTGCCCCAGCATTTCTCCCTCCAAGCGTTTTCCCTGGTGACGCCGCACACAGCCCACCGGAGTCCGTATACTCTTTGTCCTCTTCCTAATCCAACATGCATCGGCCCAGCCAAGCCCGTCCCCCTGGATGGGATCCTGCCCTGCGCCAGTCGTCCAAAGCTGACCTAACCATGCAGAGGGCGGGCAACAAATACAGAGGGAAAACGCGAAAACGCTAGGACGTGTGTGCCCTCGGGCCCTGTTGCTGTCCTTGGCTCAAGGAGAGGGACCGTTTTCTGCTGGTAACTCGCGTGTAAACAAACGCAATGTGGTGGGCTGTTGGCGTGTTTGCGTCTTGCATTTTTCTTTAACTTTATCAGTCTTGGAATCCACAGCAAGGACTCAGAGTAGATACTTGTATTTGCTGAGCCTTGAGGGCAAGATGTGAGGTCTTCCCTCTGCTAATAAGTAATGGTTCTTCAAGCATATGTGATGTAAATCAGGGCCTAAGGAAAAGCTTGCCAACTCTCAGCCGACTGCCCTCTCTAGCTATAGATGACCACTGCTCTTTTTCCGCCTTGTTCTTGCTAAAACTAATCAATTTTCAAAGGAAACAAAAGGTCCCAGTAAAATGTGCTCCTGACCCCTTAAAAAGGACCTAGCTTGGAAAACTAGACCACTCATCCTGTAAGTCATTTTAGTAAGCTGGAGATGAAGCCTTTGTGGGACACGTTGGAGTCAGTGTTGAGATGGCTGGAGCCTGACCGTGTATAGTAAGCTAGAGCAGCAGGAGCTTGGCTTTCTGCCCTTCTGGTTTTCTGATCATTGCCACTCCTCAGTGTACAGGACTCGTGTTTAGCGCCTCCTACCTGTAGGTCCTAGCTCGGCTCTTCCTCACCGGGTGGAGTTGGCAAGCATTAATCAGAACAAGGAAGAGAATACAAAAATTAGTCGGCGTGGTGGTGGGCACCTGTAATCCCAGCTACTCAGGAGGCTGAGGCAGGAGAATCGCTTCAACCCAGGAGGAGGAGGCTGCAGTGAGCCGAGATCGCACCACTGCACTCCAGCCCGGGCAACAAAGCAAGACTCCGTCTCACAAAAACAAACGAAAAAGAGAATTTGCTGATTTAAAGATAGTAAAATTCTTTTTAATGTAATCCAATTTTAAGAGATTGCTGGTTTAACAACTAAAGGCGAGACGTTGCCTTTTAAATTTTTATTGACTGTTTTCTGATTCATTAATGAAATGAAATAGATATAGCACGGACATGTTTATTGTTAAAGAGAATGGAATTATTTCCAGTAAATATTCAGGGTAAATTGCTAATTCCTCTTTTCTAGAAATTCATTCCCACGTATTGACCTTTGTTTTGAAGGGTCAGAAATGGAATTTTACTATAAGTAGTTCAGATATTAGTTGCATAGGACTGAGGAAATGATTATTATAGCAGTATTTGCTGATTACAGGGAGATACGTTAAATCTAAACTGAGATGATGTGCATGGCACATCCCCCAAAGCAGCCGGTAGAAGAAAATGTTAAATTGTCTTTATTTCTATGAAATTTAAAGCTACCTAAAATATAGCTAAACTTTATTTCTTTTAAGATTTATACCTAGATGCTAGTCTGCTGTGCTGAGTAATTTGCCCATACATGGGAATTATGATTTGTTTGGGCCTCTGATTTTATTGGGCTAGACGATCTCCAATTTGAATTAAGAGCTGCATTTGGAAGATACCTGCAACCAGGCGTGGTGGCTCACACCTGTAATCCCAGCACTTTGGGAGGCCAAGTTGGGAATTTTTTCTTTTTATTAAAATAAAGTTAAAACATTTTTTAAAGTTATAAATCTAATATATATATTTTTTTTAAAAAAAGGAAGATACCTGCTCTGTGATTTTTTATGTGAGGTCTTTAGTATGTTACCTGAGAGCCACCGTCTTTTTGGAAGGACTCTATGGCCTGCCTCCTGGCCTTTGGGGAGACTCACTGTGGTCTGGTCCCCGCAGCCTGGGTGCATGCAGGTGGAGGAGAAGGGGTGGGGAGAGGATGCAAAGTATGGGCTTCCCAGTCCTCCTCACATTCTTACAGATTTTTAAAAGCAGCATCCCAATTTTGAAACAATCCGGATGGTATTTTTTTTTTTTTAACCATGAGGACTTCTTCTAAGAATTCTATCGATTTTCAGTATTAACCATGTATATCTCCATATTTTTGGTAATTTTGTCATTGAGTTGACAGTTGTTACAGAAGACAGCTTGAAAACAAAGCTGGAAGCCACTCCCTACTTTCCACTGTTTCATGTTTGTTATTGTCTTATTATTAAGGCAGGAAAGGGCTACTACCTACCTACAAATCTTACTATAAGCACATAATAAATAATCTTAAAACAGTACCAAGGATTTTGGACTTTTTGAGGAAAAAACAACTAGAACATTTAATTTGAACTACTGAGCATGGTGGAAGAATGTGTGATGGAGCTGGGTGAGGTGGCTCATGCCTGTAATCTCGGCACTTTGGGAGGCTAAGGCAGGTGGATCAGCTGAGGTCAGGAGTTCAAGACCAGCCTGGCCAACATGGTGAAACTCCGTCTTTATTAAAAATACAAAAATTAGCTGGGTGTGGTGGTGTGAGCCTGTAATTCGTTACTTGGATGGCTGAGGCAGGAGAATTGCTTGAACCCGGGAGGTGGAGGTTGCAGTGAGCTGAGATGGCGCCACTGCACTCCAGCCTGGGCGACAGCGAAACTCCATCTCAAAAAAAAAAAAAAAAAAAGTGTGATGCAGGGTCAGCATTTTAGGCGACTTGAAGGAAGAGCAGGCCTTCCGCTCATTAGAGTGGGGCACTGTAAAGCAGCACGAGAGGCAGACGACCAGCAGGGGACTCTTCTCAGTTACTTAGGGGTATTTTGAAAACAACACAAGTGCCACATGAAAATCACATCTTCACCCCTCATGGGCAGGTGGTTTTGGTCCTCGTCGTCCCGAGCCCCCCGGGAGGTGGGTAAGATGATTTGTCAATCCTTCTTGTTGCCCCCCCACAGGGAGAAATTAATAGTTTTATAAGCACCAGTGAGGAAGAGGCACAAAGTAAGGGTGCTCTTTTCTTTAAAATGTAACTTTTACTTACAACTGAGTTTCAGTCTTCTAGACTATGCAACTGGAAGAGCCAGGGACCACCATGTGTTCTCTAAAACAATGATTGCTTTTTTTTAGGTTGAAATCAAAGAAGCAGGTGGCACTATTACAAGTAATAATCCGGAAGAAGCAACTTTCCAGAATCTCCTTGCTCAGGAGTCCTGCTGCAAGTTCCCATCGTCCCAGGAACCAGAGGACACCTCCTGCTGTTCTCATAAGAAAGATTCCAACCCAATGGTAACTATGCCAAAGAAGATGTATAGGACTAACATTATATTAAATGTCAGACCCCATCATGACTCAGTTGACAGATGGGTTCCGTCGTTTTTCATTCTGTGTATGTGTTGGACCAGCATTTTTGGTTGTCTCATTAGCAAAACAGGGACATCAGCTAGAACCTTTCATATCTCACCTCTAAGATTCTCATTTCTACCCCATCTTAGCAAATGGAACAATGATGAGGACGTTGCTGTATTCGTTAAGGAGAGTAAGCACAAATCACACCAGTCAATGCAGTGCTCGGGGCCAGGACTCAGCGGAGCCTCGTGGTTTGGAGTATTGGTGGGGGGGGTGCAGTTCTGTGGCTTCAGAGGCTGCTTCCTTTGTGCCTCCCAATCTCTCATGAGAACAGGTAACACTTGCATAGGATACGTAATCAGTCACAGCTGTAGTTTATGTAATATTTTTGCACCTTTATTTAATCCTCCTAACAACTCTGTAGGATAGGTATTATTTTTATCCCCACTTTATTGGTAAGAAAACAGAGATATTACATCATCTACATTGGTCTTCATAGTTAAGTGGTGCTTCTAGGACTCCATATCTCACTGTGGCAAGGGCTAGGAATGGGAGGAGCCTCACCCCCTGCATTCCCTTAGCAAAGTGCCAAGAGTCCAAAGAACCGATAATTGCCTTTCCCCCAGCAATTTTTTATTCCTAGAAATGAGGCCCTAGCTCTAAGGCATAGACTTTAACAAGTAAATACTTGAAAACAAACCCATCACGAGTTTGGCTTAGCTGTGGTGTGCACTACCACTTGTCAGTGGTTCTATCTGGGGCCATGGGTTCTGATAGCAGTTTTTCCAGCACCCCAAAAGCAGACCAGCAGGATGAGAACTCTCCGATTCCCCAGACCATAGAGTGATGTTAGCACACTCCCCAGAGGGCAGGGCAGAGGCTCCCCTGTGGGTAGGGCCCAGAAGTGTGTGGTAGAGGCAGGTCTGCAGAGTTCACCAAGCCTTTCC